ACCCACAGCCACTGGAATGTCTCACAATAGAAGAAACAAGTCAAAATAAATAGACTAACCCAAACCCCATCAAACTAACATCATGACCATTGAGCTGATTCCAACTCATAATGACCCTATAAGGGCAGAGTTGAATTGCCCCAGATGGTGTCCAATACTATAAATTCATTCAGAAACATGATGTCCTGTCTTTCTCCTGAGAGTGGCCGGTGGGTTCAAACTACCCACCTTTCAGTTAGCAGCCATGTGTTTAATCACTGGCTCCTTAAATGTACTCAACTTAACTATAAAACGTAGAAAAAGCAGTGAAAGAAACCAACCAACCGGATTTGCTAAAATACAAATTGTAACTTAATGTTGTTTATAACAGACACACATAAAACAGAAGGATTGGGGAAGATTTCAAAGTAAAAGGAAAAAAATTACTATGCAAATATAAACCATAAGACAGCTGGAGTACCTGCTTTAACACGACTAAAAAAAGCTTTAGTTGAAAAACTGTAAGACAAAGAAGATCACAAAGAAGACAATAATAAACTTGTATATACCTAAGAAAATAGTCTCAAAATATACAAGCATCAAAATCAGTAAAATAGCAGAGAGAAAGGGACAAATGTTCCATCTTAATCAGAAATGAACGTCTCTCAAGTTTTGATAGATTTACCTGAGAAATTAGTAAAAAATGTGGACGTTTGTACTTTACAAAAAAAGCATTTATAAAGCTTTGTTCTTTAAAATTAGAGAATACACATTCTTAAGCAATCAAGGAACAGTAAGAAAAATGGAGCAAATATTTAAAAAAATCTCTCAGTAAATTTCAAAGTATTTTAATTTGTTGATTAAATATTTAATTCATTCTGCGTCGTGTGGTGTTATAGGATAAGCACTCAAACCCACCAGCTGCTCCTTGAAAACCTTATTCAGGGTCCCTGTTGATTTCACCTCAATATAAACAAACTAAAAATCCACACAACTAGACCAATAAATAATAAATGGAGAAATAATTACGGTTGTCAATGATTTCATTTTGCTTTGATCCGTAGTCGACACTTATGGAAACAGCAATCAAGTTATCAAAGAACATGTCGCATTAGGCAAATCTATTGCAAAGACCGCTTAAAAGTGTTCATGAGCAAAGATGTCAGTGTGCCTGACCTAAGCCAGGATATTTCCAGTAACCTCATATGCCTGTGAAAATTGGACAGGGAATAGAATTGATGTATTTGAGTTATGGTGTTGGAGAAGAATATTAACAGTACCATGGACTGCCAGAAGAATAAACAACTCTACGTTGGAAGAAGTACAGTCTTCAATGCTCCTTAGAAGTCAGTATGGTAAAACTTTGTCTTTCATACTTGGGACATGTTATGAGGCAGGACCAGTTCCGGAGAAGAATATCATGCTTGGTAAAATGGAGGGTCAGCAAAACAGAGGAAGGCCCCCAATGAGATGGATTGACAAAGTGGCGTAATCAGTGGACAATCAAATGTTACAATTGGGAGGCTGGCTCAGGACTAGGTGGTGTTTTGTTCTGTTAAGTATAGGGTTACTGTGAGTCAGAACCGACTTGACAGCACCTAACGACAACAACAACATCTAACACGATAAGTTAGAAAAGTAAAACGTGGTGGTTGGGGGGATACAAAAATGTTGGAGAAACATGATAATAAAGATAATAACTTTCTGTAGAAGTTTGTTTTTGAAAGATACCTAAAAAGTGGAATTTACAAGAGCTATGAAAACTAAAAGCTTTTAAGAATAAATTTATCAGAAAACTATAGAGTGAAAGAGAAAACTTAACTTTTAAAAGGAGATATGTTGTTAAGTACTGTCAATTCGTTTCTGACTCATAGTGACCCTGTATAAGGTTTCTGAGAAGTGGCAGGAGGACTTGTACTACCAACCTTAAGGTTAAAACCAACCTTACAGTCTAGTGAATTAGCCCACAGTGCCACACCAGTACTCCAAATGGAAATATAAGAGAATATTTTTATCACCTTGGGGCAGGGAAGGATTTCTTAAGCAATATGTAATGCACAAAACAGTAATAAGATCACTAAAAGTAAAATCTGTTAATGAAGAGCTACTGTAAGGAAAATGACTAGACGAGACACATCCTGGGAGAAGTTGTTTGTAGTATGTTTATTGCTGTTGCTGGTTGTTCTCTGTTGTTTGTTATGAACTTCCACTGAGTCTCTTCTGAATCAGAGTCCCTGTATAGCGTTTCCAAGGAGTGCTTGATGGGTTTGAACCACTGACTTTGTGGTTAGCAGTCCAGTGTTTATCCTGCAGTACCAGTCTTTAGTTGATTCCAATTTGTAGTGATCCCATGTGTGCAGAGTAGACCTCCACACAATTTGCAAGCCTGTGAGCTTTTAGAAGCTCTCTTGAGTCTCCAACTGGTGGGTTCCAACTATCAACCTTTGGGTTAGTAGCTGAGTGCTTACTGTTTGTGCCACCACAACTAATACTATATTATCAAGAATGTTTCTGTTCCTGCAAAGATTTACAGCCTTGAAAACCCTATACAGAGTCACCATGAATCGATACCGACTTGATGATCCTTAACAACAAGTACTTACCAGTGCCCCTCCTATATATGCTGTTGTTGTTAAGTGCCGTGGAGTCAGTTGTGATTCACAGCAGCCCTGTATAGGGTGTCCAAGGCTTTAAATCTTTGCACGAGTAGAAAACCTCATCTTTCTCTCAAGGAGATGCTGGAGGGCTGGAACTGCAAACTTTGTGGTTCGTAGTACAGTCTTACTGTATTGAACCACTGTGTATCTTTATATATGAGGGGGCTTCAAAAATTGGAAATAGAATTGAAAGATAATGGAATTTTTCCATGAACTTTTTGAAGCTTCCTTGTATAACTCGGAGAAATAGTTTATAACAATCAAAATGCCAAACCGTGTGAGATCCCAACTTCAGTTGCTGTCACTTAAATGATCATTTTATGGTCTTCCTCCACCAGTTTCTGGACTTCAGCCGCAGTTCCTTTAATTCATTGAAGTTGTTGGTCTTTACTCTCTTGGCTTATGTTTGATGTTTTCAGGACCTTCCTTAATTAAAATGCTTGATCCATCTATGTGGGGGACAGCAGTCCTGTAGACTTTTTGAAAAGCTTCAGTGATTTGGGAAGATGTCCACTTGAATTTTGTTAATTTGATATTAGCTCTGACCTCAAAATAGTTCCTCCCCCATGACACCCTAAAAAGACTAAGACAAGTGAACTGAGAGAACTTGTCTACAACCATCCACTTATTGTAGAGACATGTTTTCTTTGGAATAAACCCGTACGTGTATTAACCGGAACTCTAATAGCAATACTTTTTTTTTTTTAATGTTTTATTGTGAATTATGTGATAGTTTACATGGGAGAACATTAGTTTTACATTCATCCTATCGTATATCGGTTCATTGCCATGGTTACAATCCCCTCCATGCATCATCACCCAACTAAAGGGTATACACTACAAGCCTGCCCCCCGGTTGTGAGCACACAGCCCCTCTCCCTCTCTGGGTCTAAAGTCCCCAACTGCTCCATCTCTCCATGTCATCGTGTCTGCCTCCATCTCAGGCATCACTGCCTCTCTGGGTGGGGTTCCGCTCTCCACTCTTCTCCCTTGATGGTCCCAGGGACCTCCGCTCCTAGACTGCAAAGTTAATCACTCCCCTCCTTGCTACAAAACGTCTGCCTTTACATTTCCAACCCTTACAAGCAGTCCTGATAACAATTATTCACTATTGTATCACAGGAGACCTATCTGCATTTTATTTCATCAGCCCCACCTAGACAGATTGGATACTACTCAGTGGAGATTCTACCTTCCTCCACGCCCTCTGGATCTAGGTTCCCTCTTGACAGCTTGTAAGCCAGTCACTTCTTGCCTTTGTAGCCCCCCCATTTTGGATAGCCAATGTCCAAGTTGCCCTTCCCGGTCTACTCAGTGTATGGAGGGTGTGGGAAAGATCCTTAATAGCAATACTTTTGATTTACCTTTGTAGCTATTATTGTTGTTAAGTGCTGTCAAGTTGGCGCCAACTCATAGTGACCCTCTATAGGGTTTCTGAGGAGCAACTGGTGAACTTGAACTGCTGATCTTGTGGTTCAAATCAACTTTGCACTCCAGTGCATTAACCCACAACGACATACCAGGTATAAAAATGTTTATTTAGAAAGGTTGGAAAGCACTGTGTAAATTTAAGGTATTTTACTGTTTTTATTTGGAGTCCTGGTGTGGCACTGTGGTTTAATGCGCCAGACTGCAAAGCCGTTTGAACTGCAAGGTTGAAGGTTCAAGCTCACCAGCAGCTCCTCGGAAACCCTATACAGGGTCTCTATGGGTAGGAACCAACTTGACAGCACTTCACAACAACAACTGTTTATATTTAATTGTTATGTTTTCTTGGATGCTTGAATGCAGAGCCCAGTTTAATAGCAGTTAAATTTTAAAAATGTATGGGACAGCATAAAGTATGCAGTTTAAGAATAGTTATTGTGGCTGAAGATAGGCAGCAGAGCTGATACAATAATTGATCTAATAAAATTTGCTTACTGCTTTTTAGAGACAAGACATTGGTTGTATGAGGGGGGCTTCAAAAAGTTTGTGGAAAAACTTATATCTTTTGCCCCTTTGCATAGTTACTGTGTATCAAAACAAACTTGGTTATAAGAAATGGTTAACTTATGTAAAGTTTTTATCAGCGAACTAATTACATTTATTACCCTCATGGTTTTTTATTTCCCCATCCATAGAACTAGGTATTTTCAATTTAGTGTCTAGGTGTTGATATAGAATGTTGGTTACATAGAATTTTTAACAGTAATTTTTTTATATATTTGATATTTGCAATGGGAATTTTTTGTATATATAAATTGATCCTTTTTGAACACTTAACTCAGTGATTAAGACTCACTCAAAATAACAACTAGTTAAGAAGCTCTTTCTAGATACCTGCCAAATTCAATTTTATTACTTTTTCTGTTGCATTTATAGTCTATTGCATCTGCAGACATGGATTTCAATCAGCTGGAGGCATTCTTGACTGCTCACACCAAAAAGCAAGGTGGGATCACAACTGACCAGGCTGCTGTCATTTCCAAATTCTGGAAGAGCCACAAGACGAAGATTCGAGAGAGCCTCATGAACCAGAGCCGCTGGGACAATGGGCTTCGAAGCTTGAGCTGGAGAGTCGATGGCAAGTCACAATCAAGGCACTCTGCTCAAATACACAGCCCTGTTGCCATAGTGGAGCTGGAATTAGGGAAAAGTGGACAGGTGAGTTTAACTATAATCAGTTTCCTTTGGCAAAGTCTCTTTTCCATTGTCTATTAATAAACATTATCCAGCTTTTTCAGATTGATATTTATGTAAGTCATCTTTGCAGAGAGAATAAGAATTTGCAGTATTAATAGGGAAAGACCTTATTTAGTAGATTCCCTTTTCAGAGGTAGAATCCTTTGAAAATTTGGATGCTCTCAATTGTGGATAGAGTCTGGAAACCAGTTTCAGGGTATTGGCAGCCATCTCTGAAGAACAGAATGGGTCAACAGGGTGGAGAGGGCACAGAAGTTGGCCATTGTTGAAGTTTGGTTGTATCTCAAAATCCTTGGCATATGCTCATAATCTCTGAGGTAAGGATGGGATATTAAACAAACACCAAGAATTGAGATTAAAGAACACAGAACAAAACTATTTCACCCAGTCATATTCATAGTCAAAATCGGATATAGGAGGCGAGGTGTTTTAATTATATTAATATATTGTTTTTGAAGACCCTGAATATGCTATCTTTTTTTTTTAGCTCGCCATCATGATTTATAAAACACTGTGGTTTTTCCTTATAGTTTCCACAATCATTATAGCAGCAAATCTAGCGTCTGCATGTGTTTCTTGGAGCCATTTGTGCTCAAGATGATTGCTAGATCAGACTTTAAATGACTTTTTTCTTATTTTTTTTTGTGTGAAAAAAATGTATTGTAAATAGTAAGTGAAAACCCAGATCACTAAATTAGCTTATCAGTCAAATGAGGGCTTCTGTTACATCCTATAATATAATTTATTTCTTTTCTTAAAATAAAATATTTCTAGTTGGCTGTCTTCTTGAAATATTCCCTTTTTAGTTTTAGTATTTGTAAATTTAAAAGGTAATTTGTTCGTGGAAATAATTCTTTTTCAAAATACATTTGGATCATCTTTTATTCCATTATTTCAAAGTAATGCTAATTGCATTTATTGATTGGTTTCCTTGACCCTGAAGTCATTCTCTTAACCGTTATTTTATATGGCCTGCCTTCTATTGTTCTTAAAAAAAATCTGATGCATTAGAAAGTTGATGATAAGTACACTTAGATATCAGAGTTTCAGCAGCCACATGTGTAGGTTGTTCATTTTTTATTCTAGCAATAGTGGTTGTTTCATTTTTGCTTTAAGTAATGTGTGGAAAGAATATGAAAACATACATATTTATTTCAAGACTTTTGTAGTAAGATAATTTGGTTTATTTTAACTTGACATTTTCCTAATATGTCTTAAACTTTGGTGTATGGAATGTGCCTTTTGATTTTAATAACTTAGAGAACATACGGATTTATTGAGTATTACTGCAGAGATTGTTCAACCTTGTAAGGTTTTTCTTTGGTCTTGTTAGCCGAAGAGGAAGAAATTTTTTAAAACAATTTGGCAATCAGTAAATCTTAACATTATTACAAGAACTTTTTGGCTAGTTTTATGAAAATGTTATTATCACCTAAACAGAATAAGTGTATACAGTTGATATCTTTTATAGTTCTAAGTTTTATTAAAACATAGTTGGCAAATTTTTCCTAAGAGGTTAGGTATTTTAAGTAATATTCTGTCACAACTACTCAACCTTTGCCATTATAACTCCAAAGCAGCCACAGACAGTACAGATGAGGGTAGTTAGGTTCTTAGAAGCTTTATCTATAAAAACAAAGTCAGCGTGTCTGTAAGAGATCATCTAATTTATATAGATGAATTACATAGACAAGATGGTGTATCCCTGTTTTCTAGAGAAGATATTTGAGACAGAGAACTAACGGACTTGCTCAAACATAGCTCTTAAGTGATAAAGAAAGAACTAAAACGGGAATTACTAAATTTCCCCCCCTCAAAAAAAAAAAAAACAATACAAAACACCACTGGCACCAACATTTAGGAGCTTTTGTTAGTTTATTCTAATATTCTGTGCCAAGAAAACATGTGGGTTGTATATAGTAAAGTATTCAAAAGCATTGACAGGTATACCACTTAATAATATAAAGGAAACAATTTTTGATACACCAAACAACATACTTGAATATGAAATCTTCTGCCGAATGAAAATTTTAGGAATAGAAAGCAGATTAGTGGTTGCCTGGGTACATACAAGAGTACAGGGATTAGACTACAGAGGCTTATATAAAATCTTTTGAGGCTGATAAAAGAAGTTTGTTATATTAATTGTGGCAGTGGTTTCATGGATGTGTATGTGTATGAAAACATATTGCATACTTTAAACATATGTTGTTTACTATGTATCGTTTATACTTCCAAGTATGAAAAATTGGTCATGGTACAAATGATTGAAATTGTATTTTACCCCACTCCCAAATTATTTATATTGCAAACATATTCCTAGTTGAAAAAGCTTGTAAAAACAAATAAATACAAATAGAATCTATGCTAATTGTATGACAGCCCGCTACCACTGTGTCATTTCCAACTCAGTGAATCAAAGGATCTCTGGTGGTAACAGTAGGTTAAGTGTTGGGCTGCTAACTGAAAGGTTGGTGGTGTGAACCTACCAGCTGCTCCATGAGAGAAAGATGAGGAAGTCTGCTTCTGTAAAGATTTATAGACTCGGAAGTTCTGCATTTTTCTATAGGGTTGCTATGAGTTAGAATTGAATCAGTGGCAGTGGGGTCTTTTAGTAGTATGATACACAGCCCAAATAGGACATACTTTTATGAGACCTGGCTCCTTGGTAAGTGCTGGTGTGGTTCTGTATGATAAGTACTGGACTGCGAACTGCAAGGTAGGTGGTTCAGACTCACCAGACACTCTGTGGAAGCCCTGTGCCAGGGTCACTTTGAGTCAGAATCGACTCAGAGTACTTAACAACAATAATAATAGGCGTCAGAGTTGTTTGTAGACTTTTGACATAAGATGAGCTCATAAGAGAATTAAGGATCCTAGGATGTCAAGAGGTTGGTTCCAAGAACGATGACCAGGTATCTTAGTTTCATAGTGCTTCTATAACAAAAATACCAAAAGTGGGTGACCTTAATGGACAGTAATTTATTTTCTCACAGTTTAGGAGGCTAAAAGTGTAAATTCTGAGCATCAGCACTAGGGGAAGGCTATCTCAGTCTGCTCTGGGGGAAAATCCTTGTCTTCCCTTTTCTTTGTGTTCCTTGGAGATCTCCACATAACATGTACCTTTTCCTGTCTTTATTGTTGCTTGTATCTGTACTCAGTTTGCTTTTTTATATCTCAAAAGTGATTGGCTTAAGACACTTCCTATACTGATATGATCTCATTAACATAACAAAACATTTCCCCCAAATGGGATTAGTATTTTCAAAACATATTTTTGGAGATACAGTTCATTCTATAACATTCCACGCTTTGGCCCGTACATGCAAAACACATTGACCCTAACATCATCCACAAAGTCTTAAATTAACTCCTAGTCCAAAAATCTCATCTTCTAAATCATTTAAACCAAGTATGAATATGATTTTGGACATATTCCATCCTGGAAAAAAATTCTTCTTCATCACTAGACCTATGAAACCTCGAAATCAAGTACAATGGTGGAACTGGTACAAAGTAAACATTACCATTCAAAATGGAGGAAAGCAAGTCCACAACCAGGAGAGCAAATTTCATTTGTTCTTAAGAATTGAAAGTAACGCTTTGTTCTCTGGGAGCATCTGGCATTTGGACAATGGCCCCATACTCTAGATTTCTCCAAATTTTAGGTGGAGGTTCATTGTCTGTGGGTGTCAGCCCTGCCTTCTTTGCCCTTAGTACGGCAACTCTGTTTCTTCAGTTTTGGGTGGTCCCTTTCTCCTAGTCTTAGTGGTGACCCACCCCACCTTGGTCCCATGTAATTGTTTTCCTGGCCCTTGAACCTGGCAGCCCTGTTCCCTCAGCTCTGGATCGTGGCCCTGCCCTCTTGGCCTACCTGATTGGCAACCCCACACTCCAGAACCAAGTTGATGGAAAGCTGACCCTTTGAAACCCAGAAGACAGTTTTACCACCTTTTGAAATGGTGGTGGTGGTGGTTTTGCCTTTGAAATGGAGATAGCCCTGTCCACCATGGTCTCTTTTACAGCTCTGCTGGTCTCCAAATTGTGCCGGGGAGGATGTCCTTCCTTTTCTTGTAGGATATCAGATGTTACTACAGCCAACTTGGTCCGTTGTCCTATTTCCTGTCTACAGAATTTCAGGAGGCAGGGAGGTTTTCTTCATTTTGTACTTTCTTTGTCCCTTTCTGCTGCCTTGGTTGAATACATTCATCAGTCACAGGCTTAATCTCTTGAACAAAAGATTAAGTAGATAGCTGCTGGTGAACATTTATGCAGGACATTTCCTTAGTGTGTTCAATAGAATTTTTCAAGTTTTTAAGTTCTCGTTTCACTTTACACAGTTACTTTTTTTTTTTTTAATTTAAATATTGCTAAAGTCAATTGACATTGTTAAGGAAAAAAATTCACCATTAATACCAAAGAACTGAAAGACTGATACACATAGCTTTGGAATTGCTGCTACTCACAAAACTCTTTAGATTTTATTCAGGGTTTACAGAAAGGGGGTCTTGCACTTAACAAACAAGCTAATGGATAACAGGATATGCTAATCTAAATTAGAATTTTTAAACCACTGTAAAGACTTACATACCCTTAGCTAATGTTATAATTGTATATTACTTAGGTACAAGTTATTTCTTCAAAGAGTCAGTAGAATACCATAGATCAAGGAGACTTTTGAACACTTGCCATCTCTTGCTCCTGAGTATCCATCATAATTTTTTTCTGCAGCACAGCCATTTCTTTTCTAACTTCATTTTGCGTGCCATTCAGGAGATATTCTTGATCTTCTCTATGTCCTCCATACTCTTTACAAACTGCTCCTGTAACTGCTTAACCTGTTTTCACTCTGGTTCTGTACAAGTCTATCTACATTGTTGAAAAGTCTTTTATTACTGTCAAAACATACTGTACTAGTCATTTTTTCTTCTTGCTCCATGGTTTTCTGCACATCCATATCC